AAGTCCTGGACTGATACTGTATTGTTACATGTGATGATGATGTCGTCAACATAAACAAGTAACATGATAGTTATACCTTTGTCATTAAGAATTAGCAAAGAGGTGTCGACAATTGAGTTCAAGAAGTGAGATGCAAGTAGAAACTGGCGAAGTTCATTGTACCAAGCTCTAGGAGCTTTTTTGAGACCATATATTACCTTTCGCAATTTGCATACATGGTGTGGATGATCAGCATCAACAAAACCTTGAGGTTGGTTCATTAAGACATCTTCAGTGAGTGTGCCTTGGAGAAGGGCATTGTTGACATCGAGTTGTCGAAGAACCCAACCTTGACTGACAGTAAGTGAGCGGATAACACGAACTGTGGTTGGTTTTACAACTGGACTAAACGTCTCATGGTAGTCCATTCCGAGTCGTTGGTGAAACCCCTTTACCACTAGGCGAGCCTTGTACCTAGCAATAGAACCATCAGGTAAACGTTAAAAATCCATTTGCACACCATAATATTTTGCACACCATTGGGAGAAACCAGTTCCCAAGTGCCATTTCGAACCAAGGCATTAAATTCCTCGGACATCACATGTCTCCATCGGCCATCTTTCAAGGCCTGAGTTACACATGTGAATTCAATTCCGGAGGTAAGTTGGGCCAAGAGACTGAGTTTGGTGATTGGTTTGTGGATATTATTTTGGGAACGGGTGACGATAGGTGAGGTACAGACGAAGGGTGTGAGTGATAGGATTTTTGAGACTTGATTAAGAACAGGTGAGGGTAAAGCCAAAGGGACATGTGGAGATGTGCTAGGAACATGTGTAGGTATTAGGGTAGGCAGTAGGGGTGGTAAGGTGTTTGGAGAAGTAGGCGAAGTGTGAGGTGGGTTTAGAAAGGGAAGATAGAGGGGTAGCGACAAGTATTGTTGATCTACCATATCCATTTGTGTGTTGGAGTCGACTGGCAAATAGCCACTGCAACTAACTTCGGATGATGTGTATGAAACCGAGAGAATAACATGTCGAGGAAGCCATGTATCACATGTCAAGCCATCAGGACGAGGAAGATGCAGATCAACTTTAGATATGGGAAACTCAGATTCAACAAATTGAACATGACGTGAGATGTAGACCTTTTGAGTACTTGGATCAAAACATAAATAAGCACTCTGAGTGAGGGAATAACCAAGAAAGATACAAGACGTGGATCAATTGGCAAATTTGTGGGGAGAGTAAGGACGAAGCCAATGATAGCACAAACAACCAAATACTCGAAGATTGGAATAGTTGGGTAGCGACTCAAAGAGTTTATGATAGGGAGAGATCATATAAAGAGTGGGTGTTGGAAGGCGATTTATGAGATAGGTGGCGGTGGAGAAAGTATATGACCAGAAGGTTAGTGGTAAGGAAGCTTGAGAGAGAAGAGAAAAACATGTGTCAACAATATGACGATGTCTATGTTCTGAGAAACCATTATGTTCTGGAGTGTGAGGTGGCGAGGTGAGGTGCGAAATACCATGTGTGGATAAGTATGTGGCAATATCAGTGGATTTGGCGAGACCCATGTATTCCCCCCCATTGTCGGAGTAAAATGTGATTATTTTCTGTTGGAAGAAGTTTTCAACAAGTGCTTTAAAATGAGGAAAAATAGTGGCAATATCAGATTTACGTTTGAGGGGATAAAGCCATATGTAGTGCGTGAAGTGATCCACAAAAATGAGATAGTATTTGTAACCATCAACGGAATAAATAGGCGAGGTCCACACATCAGAATAAATATGTTGGAGAGGAGAAGTAGACACAATAGATGACTGAGAAAAAGGTAGTTTGTGACTTTTATTACAAAAACAATCTTTACAATGGAAATGCTTGGAGCTAGAGAAATCTGAAGGTAGACCAAACTTAAAGACAATATGACGTTGGATTGACTTTGATGGGTGACCAAGACGATAATGCCAGGCACAAGAGGATACTTTGGTACTGGTGAAGACTGAAGGACGAGAAGTTAGGTGCGAAATCGGTAATTCATACACACCACCTTTAGGTTGTCCTTCCAGCAATGTGGCCCCTGTCAGTAGATCATTCACAGGAAAAGAAGATGGTAAGAACTCAATCGAAGTATTACTGGTTTTGCAAAACTGAGATATGAAGATCAGATTTCTTTTCATGGTAGGAACAAATAAAACATCATGTAATTGAAAAGTGTGAGAGGGTGTTTTAATAGAAGTAGAACCAGTTTTGGAAATGTGTAACCCAGTGCCATCATCGATTTCAATATCATCAGGCCCTTCGTATGGAGCATGAAGCAAGAGGTTGCCGAGGTCAGCCGTGACATGGTGAGAGGCACCACTGTCGAGAAGCCAGGCCGGGGTTTCGACACCTGAGGTTGTGGTGACATGTGTCCTTGGGTGCCACTGAGATTCAGTAGGCGAGGAGTGAGTAGCACTGTGCGAGGTGGCGGGTACTAGCTGAAAGAGTGAACACTGAGCAACAGTGTGGCCCTGTTGGCGACATCCTTGACACTTGTCAAGATATGGCCTTTGCTGGTGAATCGTGGCCTGCGGAGGCTGAGATGGCTGTTGTCGAGGAGTAAAGTGTAGAGGTTGCGTCTAGTTCGACGAGAAGCGGTGTGAACGATTAGACCTGGTCAAGACAACATTTGTCGTGACGGGATGCGGGAAGGAAGCAGATTGCAACTGCTGAATAGTCAGTTCCCTGTTGATGAGTTTCTCATGAAGCTCATCAAATGAGATGGGAGTGTCCCTACCTTCCACTATATCTGCAATGTGACGATAGTCATCATCGAGACCGTCTAAGATCTTCTCAATGATGTCTTCATGGTCCATCGGTTTACTGAGTGCAGCAAGTTGATCAGTTCGGCACTTGATATACTGCATGTAGTCCGAGATGGACTGAGATCACTTCGTGGCTTTCTTGACCTGGTCCTTGATTTGCTTTATGTGACCACGAGTCGGACGAGCATAAGTGTTGGCTAGAATTTTCCATGCTTCGCGGGAGGTGACCGATTGTTGGATGAGTGTAACGAGAGATGGGGAGATAGAACCGACAAGTACGCCAAATAACAACTTATCTTGTCGAATCCATGGGAGGAAGGCCGGGTTGGGAGCTTCAACTTTGTTGGTGGTGATGGTGCGAGAAGGACATGGATGAGTGTTGTCGATGTATTTGTAGTGGTCATAGCCGATGAGAATGACTTCAATCTGGAGTTTCCAGGCAAGATAATTTGAGGAGGTTAATTTGATGATGGATGGATGAGAGATGTTTATGAGTTGAAGAGTTTGGGTAGGATTTTCTAGGTTGGGGATGGTAATAAGCTGAGGTTCAGTGGTCATGGTGATGTTGTTGGTAGGATTGGCGGAAGAGTGGTGAGAAAGGTTGAGGACCGACTTCAGCGTGATACCATATAGAAACGTAAGAGTGAATGAACAATGGCGTAATCTTTTCATTGATGTTAGGACATATAAATAAGCTTATACAAGAATCAGTTTGTTACAACAGAAATATATCTATACTAAACTAATAACTAAAGAATAATAAGAATAAGTCAATATTGTTAGATATGAACTGAATATCCTATATTTTAGGAGAATGAGATAAGTATAGTTAAATATATTAAATTAATTCTCTATTACTAATTGTCACCCATATGTCGCCGTTCATTCATTTATCGACCATGACCCTTATTGTTATCTCAAACCCCTAAATCCAAACCTTAAAATTAAAACAACGAACTTTGTGTAAATCCATTGCGATATTATATGTTGATTGCGATGTGCTTGTCTCGGTTGATTTCATATATCTCTTTTGTGTTCTTAGATAAGATGTTCTTGCTCAAGTGGGATATGCAGAGGCTTTGCAAGGGGTGATACCTGAGAGTAAGTGGACGACAACACCAGATGAATTATTATTATTTTTTAAAAATGCTTTTTTAATAATACTTTTATTTTCAAAAAGAATAATTTTTTTAAATAAATATATATATTATTTTTAGATAACGATCAAATTTAACGATAGTTATGATTCAGTAACCTAAAAGTATAATGTTAAAAAAGTTAAACACCTAAAAATGTAACGTCAGAAACATTATGTGCTTATTTTTAATAAAAAAATTATTTAGACACCTAAAAATAATTTTAAGCATAATTTGAATACTTATTTTTACATTAAATTTATTTTTTAAAAACTTAATACAAAAATAAATATCTACACTATGTCTTAAAAAAATGTTTTAATTTATTTCTCAATGGGTTCTTAAAGTATGGGTCTACTACAACTTTTGGGTGGGGTGGGGTGGGGGGGGGGGAGAGAAGAAAAGTTGTGTTAAAGTTTTGGTCTACTACAACTTTTTAGGTGGGGTGGCGTGGGGTGGGAAGAAGAAAAGTTGTGTTAAAGTTTTGGTCTACTACAACTTTGTTTGGGGGGGGGGGGGGAAGAAGAAAAGTTGTGTTAAAGTTTGGGTCTACTACAACTTTTGGGGGAGAAAGAAGGAAAGTTGTGTTGGGGGGAGGAGGGAGAGAATGAATGATATATATATATATATATATATTATAAAATTCAGATTTTTAATATTAAAAATAAAAAATTTAAAAAATATAACGATAAAAATTTAAAAATATAATGAAAAACCATTAAATATTTATTTATAAAAATTTAGATATCAAATTATTTTTTTAGATATAATTTAAATATTTATTTTTATATTAAATATTTTTAAAATAATAAAAAATAACCGACTTATTAGGAAATTTATTGGAAATATCAAAATTATCTTCTTCAGTTATTCAAGTTCCGCGATGATTCTATTTCTTAGAAGACAAGAAATAAGCTCGTTGTCGTTTCAATAAGATAACCTCAACTCCTTCCAGTCCTTTATTTTCAATTTCAAAAGAAACCGACTTACAAATAATACCAATAATATCAGATCATATATAATCAAAAAAAGGAAAAATATTGCTTTTTGATTGATTGATGATCAAACACCAAAGCTGCTCTCTCCCTCACCCTCACCTCCACACTAACCGCTAAGCAAACAACAAATACTTTCGTTTTCCCCCTCTATTCTGCCTGCTTTCTTCTTCCTCGCCCTTTTACAGCCGAGATTCTCTTCCACCATTGGATCAACTATATCTCCCGGCGATACTTTCTATCACGATCCAGCACCGCCTTCAGTATGGTTGTGAATGGTTTGCCAGTGAAAAGGATGAAGAGAAGAGTTACAGCCGACCTCTACGACTTCCTCACGTTCCCTTCCTCTTCCACCTCCGCCTCTGGATCTGGCGTCGCCACGCCGTTTCGTGTCAACATCAGGTCTTTTCTGTCGAAGCACGCTCTCATGCCTCCTCAGTCGTCGCTTTTCCCTCACGTGACGATCTGGCAGATCGTCTTCAGAGTCGGTGACCCGACGGACAGCTCCGATCCCTCTTCATCCGTGGTTTGTCTAGACGTGGTGGAGGAGGACGTCGCTAGATCTAGATCCATCTACTGTGACCTGTGCCGAGTCGTTGGTAAGTGGACTCATGCCGAGTCATTGATCGATTTTGTCTTACGCTCATCCCTAGGCTCTTTCTACGTCATTCAGTTTTTCTCTGCTGCTTCGCCAGTTGCAGATTGCTTAGATTACGGAGAAATATATTGCCTAAATAAATGATGCTTAATAGTAATACTAACAATAAAATCGAAATTTATTTACAAGGATATAGACAATGAACACGATAATAATGATAATAATAATAATAATAATACTAATGGGGTTAGGTGAGTCGAATTGTTTGGGAGCTGCGAATATCTCGGGAGTAAATAATGAAACGATAAGTTTTGTTTGATTTTGGATTAGACTGATAGGATTAATTAATTAAAAATAATAATATTATAAATTTGTGACTGGGGGCACGTGGCTTCGACTGGACACATCATTTAGGGCTCACGGAACACCTGGCATTGCATATTCTGCATTGTTATTTTACCATTATACCCATCTCATATCTTCTTATTTATCTTATTTTACCAAGTAAGACTAATCAACATTTTCACACGTCACTATCTATTAAAATTTGAGCTTCCTTGACTTCTCTCTCTTCCTTACGGCTCATCATCCACGTGTTTTTTAATATTTTGTTTTTGTAGACATTAAAGTCTCTGTCCCGCTTCTTCCTTATCCAATTGTTTGCCGACACATTATGTCTAAATAATGGTGTTTTTGTTGCTGTCTTATTAGGGTGGAGCGGCCATCCAGTATGTTTCAAACGATACCACTTCATCATAAAGGCTGATGGTAACTCCATTGGTGGCTACCATAAACCATGTGTGCGTTGCGGAGATATCCTGCATCTGTCAGAATTAAGGTATTCTAACTCATTGCGTTCTCCTTACATTTATTTATTTTTTCTCAATTAAATGCGAACAAAATTATATTCGTTTCGAAAAAACTGAAGCTTTCGATTCAATTCAATATTAAAAACTTAAATCGATTCGTAATTTTATAAATTTGATTTGACTTGAAAAAAAATTTAAATTTGAGTTGAGTTATAAAATATAAAGTAATGTACATGTATATCATATAAGTAGATTGATTTTCAAGTTTGAATCATGTCTCGTCTATGTATAATATATATATATATATATATATATTGTATATGAAAAATTTAAAATGTATATCGTATATGGTTATTGAAAATTGTTTAAATCTTAATCAATTAATTAAATAGTACTATAACTCCAAAATTTATAAATATTTACAATTAAGTTTAAAGAAACTAGATTCAACTCGACTCGAATTTCATAAACTCGATTCGATTAAAAAAATTTCAAATAAAATTCGAGTTATAAAATAAAATTCGTTAACTCTGACATGATCTAATACTGATCCATATTCTTATGTCCGTTGATATACGTATGCATGTGCTATGAACTATGGTGCATTGTGAAGATACTAATTTTTTACCCATATTAATTTATTTATTATTATAATTATAATTATTATAATAATTATTATTATTATTATTATTATTATTATTATTAAATACATATATAAATAATAATAAAAAATATACAAGCCCAATCAACCGGCCCAATTACAAATGGCCCATCAAACCCTAACAGATTAGGGTTTCCATCTTCCCAGCCGCCTCAGCTTGCTGTCGTTGGATCTGGCAAGATCCAATGGTCCAGATGGCTCCAGATACAAACCCTAGGGTATGATACCCTAGGGCCACGCGGCCGCCGCTGCTGCTCTCGCCGCCTCCACCGCTGCCACGTCCCAACCGAAGGCTCCAGAAGCTCTAACGCCAGCCGTCCATGCCATGGCTAAGGGGTGAGTCACCACTGGTAGTCCGGTGACTCATCGAAACCCACTCTTCGGACCGGTCCGATGACCACACCGGTGGTGGCTATAAAAGCCACCACCCGAACCTGCAAGAAAAAAAAAGAGACAGAGACAAAGAAAGACAGAAAATACACAGAAAGAAGAGAAACACAGAGAAATCAAATACTACCAACGATCTCAACAACAAACGCAGCAAAGAAACAGAAAAGAAAGAAAAAGGAAGAAGAGAAACTTACCGAGGAAGCCGACCACCGGATCTCACCAAAACCTTCGAAAAACCGAAGGTATATTTTTTAGATTTGCTCCGATCGGGAGTCGTTTAAAGGAAAAGATCATCGGAACCGTCATTAGGACGGTCCGATCTACGTTTCAATGTAAAAAAAAAAATTATTCCGGCCACCGAAGACGGTGGCCGGCGGCGGGATCCACGCAGGCAAGCGGCTGCCGGCCGGAGAGCTTCTCTCTTTTCTAGAGAGAAGCGAGAGAAAAATTCTCTCTCTCAGAGAAGAGAGAGAGGAAAAATAGAGAAATGAAGCTGGCCCTTCGGGCCAGCCGGGTTTGGGCATTAAATAGCCCTTCCCAAACGACGCCGTTTTGGGGAGGGCTATTCGTGTAATAAATAATAGTTAAATCCCTTCCGCGATCCTCCAAACTTATAAACTTTACATTTTAGTCACTAAATCGAATTTATAATCCTTTTAATTTGATATCTAAATTTTAATTTTATTTATTTTAGTCCTTTATATTAAAATAATATATTTAGGATAAATAACATAATTAATCCCTTAATTTTAATAAATAATATTTTAATGCCTAGTTTATATTTTTAATTTATTTTAATCTTATATTCGAATTTTAGATAATTTTATTTTAGTCACTAAATAAATAAAATAAAGAAATAGCATGTTTAATCCCTATAATTTTGATTAATTATGAATTAGATTTTTAATTTTAATTTTAATATAATTTAGTCACTATTTTTAATTGTGTTCATTTATTTTACTGCTTTTAAATATATCATTCTAATTGTATTTTTATTGCTTTATTTAAATATTTTTATTATATAGTCATAAATATATATAATAAATAATAATTTATATTTTTTCAATAAATTATTTTAATATTTTTCAATATCGAAGAAAAGGGCAGTCTTAATATAACTGGATGTCCTATTCTGGTATTTTAAAATTAAATATTATTAAAAATTATTATTTAATTTTATTTAAATTTAATTTTATTAATATCAAAGAAAAGAGCTGTCTTAAGGCACCTAGAAGTCCTTTTCTGATATTTTTTTAAATAAATAAATATATATAATTTTGAAATAATAGGATTATAAATTAAATATATTTTTGAATTTTTAAAATTTTAATACTAGAGACAATTCATAATTAAAAAGTACCAATTTTGGGCGTTGTAGGGGTGTTAATCCTTCCCTAAACGTAACCGACCACGAATCCCTTTTTATTATTAAAAGGAACGAATTTTTGGTTATAAACGCAGATCAGTTCAAGTTTTTAATTGATGTTTTCTTAAAACTCTTTTAAAAAAATAATTTTTAGGTATTCGACCTACCTGACCCAAAAAGGCCGATGACGACTCTCAAATTATTTTCAAAAACCATTTATTCACATAAATTTATTCACATAAATTTATTTATTATTATAATTATAATTATTATTATTATAATTATTATAAATATTATTATTATTATTATTATTATTATTATTATTAAATACATATATAAATAATAATAAAAAAATATACAAGCCCAATCAACCGGCCCAATTACAAATGGCCCATCAAACCCTAACAGATTAGGGTTTTCATCTTCCCAGCCGCCTCAGCTTGTTGCCGTTGGATCTGGCAAGATCCAACGGTCCAGATGGCTCCAGATACAAACCCTAGGGTATGATACCCTAGGGCCACGCGGCCGCCGCTGCTGCTCTCGCCGCCTCCACCGCTGCCACGTCCCAACCGAAGGCTCCAGAAGCTCCAACGCCAGCCGTCCACGCCATGGCTAAGGGGTGAGTCACCACTGGTAGTCCGGTGACTCACCGAAACCCACTCTTCGGACCGGTCCGATGACCACACCGGTGGTGACTATAAAAGCCACCACCCGAACCTGCAAGAAAAAAAAAGAGACAGAGACAAAGAAAGATAGAAAATACACAGAAAGAAGAGAAACACAGAGAAATCAAATACTACCAACGATCTCAACAACAAACGCAGCAAAGAAACAGAAAAGAAAGAAAAAGGAAGAAGAGAAACTTACCGAGGAAGCCGACCACCGGATCTCACCAAAACCTTCAAAAAACCGAAGGTATATTTTTTAGATTTGCTCCGATCGGGAACCGTTTAAAGGAAAAGATCATCGGAACCGTCATTAGGACGGTCCGATCTACGTTTCAATGTAAAAAAAAATTATTCCGGCCACCGAAGACGGTGGCCGGCGGCGGGATCCACGCCGGCAAGCGGCTGCCGGCCGGAGAGCTTCTCTCTTTTCTAGAGAGAAGCGAGAGAAAAATTCTCTCTCTCAGAGAAGGAGAGGAAAAATAGAGAAATGAAGCTGGCCCTTCGGGCCAGCCGGGTTTGGGCATTAAATAGCCCTTCCCAAATGACACCGTTTTGGGAGGGCTATTCGTGTAATAAATAATAGTTAAATCCCTTCCGCGGTCCTTCGAACTTGTAAACTTTACATTTTAGTCACTAAATCAAATTTATAATCCTTTTAATTTGATATCTAAATTTTAATTTTATTTATTTTAGTCCTTTATATTAAAATAAATATATTTAGGATAAATAACATAATTAATCCCTTAATTTTAATAAATAATATTTTAATGCCTAGTTTATATTTTTAATTTATTTTAATCTTATATTCGAATTTTAGATAATTTTATTTTAGTCACTAAATAAATAAAATAAAGAAATAGCATGTTTAATCCCTATAATTTTGATTAATTATGAATTAGATTTTTAATTTTAATTTTAATATAATTTAGTCACTATTTTTAATTGTGTTCATTTATTTTACTGCTTTTAAATATATCATTCTAATTGTATTTTTATTGCTTTATTTAAATATTTTTATTATATAGTCATAAATATATATAATAAATAATAATTTATATTTTTTCAATAAATTATTTTAATATTTTTCAATATCGAAGAAAAGGGTAGTCTTAATATAACTGGATGTCCTATTCTGGTATTTTAAAATTAAATATTATTAAAAATTATTATTTAATTTTATTTAAATTTAATTTTATTAATATCAAAGAAAAGAGCTGTCTTAAGGCACCTAGAAGTCCTTTTCTGATATTTTTTTAAATAAATAAATATATATAATTTTGAAATAATAGGATTATAAATTAAATATATTTTTGAATTTTTAAAATTTTAATACTAGAGACAATTCATAATTAAAAAGTACCAATTTTGGGCGTTGTAGGGGTGTTAATCCTTCCCTAAACGTAACCGACCACGAATCCCTTTTTATTATTAAAAGGAACGAATTTTTGGTTATAAACGCAGATCAGTTCAAGTTTTTAATTGATGTTTTCTTAAAACTCTTTTAAAAAAATAATTTTTAGGTATTCGACCTACCTGACCCAAAAAAGCCGATGGCGACTCCCAAATTATTTTCAAAAACCATTTATTCACATAAATTTTCCCGTCAAGTAAATAAATTCGTGCCCGGACGAAAACCGGTTACGACACATTGCATGCATATATTTATTCTAGTTATTGTGCCTAACTTCTTTTTGCATAATTTTTAATTATTTTTATTTAGGTGTAAGTCATGCAGCCATGTGACAACTACAGATGATATTGAGGAATGGGTGTATAACCAATTGGAGGACACAACCCATCTTTTGCATGGTGTAATCCATTCAAATGGTTACGGGCACCTTCTTAGGGTCAATGGCAGGGAAGGGGGTTCAAGGGTTCTCTCAGGGTTTCATATCATGGATTTCTGGGACCGACTATGTAAAACCCTTGCTGTCAGGTTAGATATTAAATGTTTTTTCCTTTCAAATTTGATCTCTATGTCCTAGAGCGACCACTCTCCTATTGTTAATACTTAATAGTGCATGTCTTTTTCTTGCCAAAAAATAAAATGGCATAGCATATCATTTGCTGCTGCTGATTTTCTGTATATGCCTGTCCAGGCTTTGCAGTGGAATTTCTCAGATAATATTATGATCAGTGCATTTTTTGTTCTGTATTCTTATTCAATACAGTTGACCCATTCGTATATATTACTTGGATGCATTTAGATGTATGGTTGAATTTAGTCATGTTATTGAGTTATTTGTCTTACTGTTTTGCATTATGACAGGAAGGTAAGCGTGATGGACGTGTCAAAAAAGTATGGGTTGGAGTACCGACTACTTCATGCCATTACCAAAGGCTGTTCATGGTATGGGATTTGGGGATATGAATTTGGTGCTGGTAGTTTTGCGCTGACAGTTGATGAATATAAATCAGCTGTTGAAACTCTTTCTAGCCTTTCACTATCCATCTTTCTGCTGCAAGGATTGAAACCCAGCACCCGACTACAAGACACTATCTCATTTTACCAGTCTTTATCAAAGAGCAAGCTTGTAAATGTAAAGGACCTCTTTTGTTTTCTTATGAGTTTGATCCATGATGCCCGTAAGTTTAACTCCGGGGCCGGGGATGCTGCCATCAAGAGACAACGTACTTCTTCAGCGGTTTTACCATGGAGTAGAGATGATGTTACACGAGTTGAAGAGGCCATGTTTAGAGTGCTTCGGGCCGTATCTGGGTCCAACTGGGTAAGTTCACGTGCTCTTAGGGGAGCTGTCTGCAGAGTGGCTCCTCCAGAGCTCCTTGATAATTGCCTCATGGAACTTCGTGGGAAAGTGGGAGCAGGAGGAATGGTTGTTAATGCGAGACACAATCCTGATTCAGATTCGCTCGAGTATAGGTGTAGTTTGGTGTCTTTAAATGCATCGGATTTTTCAATCTCTGAACAATTTTCTAATTATTGGATTAGTATTTTCCCTTCTCTTCTACTTGTCCAAAATGCAGTTGTATGATCTCATATAGTTCATACTCAAATTTATTGTTTTTCATCTGTTACAGGCTTGAGCCTCAAAATGTTTCCGTAAGCACCAGTGGGAACAATGCTTTTGTTCCTAACTGTCCTTCATCCGGGGAAATTCTTAAGCTGGATCTTAAATTCTTGTACGAATCCATACTCCAGCCTCAAACCATGTCGACCTTCCCTGCAGACGAAATAAGAAATCTTGCCATCAGCTCAGCTGAGAAGCTCCTTGACTACAAGCAATTTGTGAAACATTACAAGAATGAGATGCTATCAAGTGGGAATCGAGCCATAATTTGCATCTCATGCGGGTTAGAGCTTACGGAACTAAATAAAGAAATTGCCTCCAATCCACCTGCAGAGTTGGTAGTTTTACCTGTAAAAGCCACCATATCAGACCTCAAGACCGAAGCTTCAAAGGCTTTCCAGGAAGTATATTTGGCATTCAAAAGATTCCAAGCCGAAGAGCTGGTTGGCTTTGGTGGTGTAGAGGATTCCACCCAGGTCAAGCTCTTGATAGGGACAACTGGATGCGTTCGACTTCGAGGGAGATGTCCGGGGAAAATTGGGCTTAGTAAATACAGGTTGGAAAGAGGGATGGAAAGGTGGACAGTGGATTGCAAATGTGGAGCCAAGGATGATGACGGGGAAAGGATGTTGGCTTGTGATGTATGTGGGGTATGGCAGCACACGAGGTGTTCCGGAATTAACGATTCCGAGGCAGTGCCTGCCAAGTTCGTTTGCAACAGATGCAGCAAAGAGTCGGTGCAGACGATGCCAACTGTTAGATAGTGTAAGAATGAGAATGGAAGCTTGGGAAAGAGCATGACAGCTCCTTGTGGTGTTGATTGAAATGTGGGGTTGTGGTGCTTCAGGCGTGCCTTCAAGGGAGGTTTCATCAACGCGTACATAAAAAGAAACTGGCCTAAAGTCATCGAGGCAGTTGTTTTGTTTTGTTGTATATATTTTTGCTAAGTTATTTAATATAAAACATGGGGGGAAAATGGACACAGTACAGAGAACGATGTTTCCCGTTGCGTCTCTTTTGACTACTTTCATTTTGGCTGTCCTTTCCTTTCCTCCTTTCGTTTTGCTTTTATTTTGGGTAATATAATTTCCTTAACGGTGAAGTAGTCGATTATATTACCAAAAATAAAGAAAGTTACATAAAGACAAAAGGATTCATGAAGCTCTCCAAATGAATTTTCATCATCTTTTGTAACATCAATGTTCATTTTCGTACCTCTTCGTCCAGCTTAAGAGATGATGAACCATCACCGGTAGATCTTGAATCCATTTCCCTTCTTATGCGTTGTAGCTTAGCTTCACATTGTAAATACCACTTTTCCTGGGTGATCACACCTTTTTTAGCATATTTATTGCTTATGTGCAATGGGTGAGATGACAATTTACATTGATTGATATGATGAAAAATGAGATCCATGTTAATAGAGCAGAGAATCTCAAGATAGAGAAAAGGAGAAGAGACGCAATTTTCCATCTTATTTTCTTTTTGTGTGAGGCGACACATAACATAACCACGTTAGAGCACAATGACATTCCTTGACACATTTTTATAATTTGTGATAGCTTAAATGTGGGTATCGCTAAATAGGTATATAACTTCTTCAGTAAAACCCTTCCATTTGAGAGGAAAGGAGACACGACACTTGCCCCCTTTAATTTGTGTCATGTTATATTGTGGCGTGACTATTAGTTGATGATTATGGAGATGTGATAGATTTCGTTTTACTCTGCACTGATAAGGTTAGAAAACCCAGAGCTTATATGGAAGCTTTCAAGCTTCGAGGTGCGCTGGACAGTTGGATAAGGATAAACTATTGCCTAGCTATGAAGTTAGTAGGAGAGGAATTCAAGGTGACGCATTATTTTGGAAGGAAATGGATTTAGTGTTAATGGAGTTATGATCTTCTCTGCTGATGCTTCTTCCTCCATTGGCAACTACTATGAGAGGAAATCTGGGGATTTCTTGCTGAATTTCCACTGTATCAGTGTGAAAATTTGTTGTGCAAATTTAAAAGCAAAAAACATTGGAATTTATTAACTAACCAGAGCTGCTACATCGAGGGTGCTTAGAAAGAAAACGAAGAATGAACACGATTTCACTCATTTCATTAATTGGACATGCCTTGCTTTCTTCCTGAGTGGACGATCCTGGTGTCATCTTCTTCACTTCACTTGATCAAGAACGTGGTTTGGATTTATTTTTGTTTAGGAGTGTTTCTTGCTACCGGCCAGAATTCGTTGAATTTGAAGGCCTCTGCTGAAGGCTTGGTTGAAGAGAAGCCTGGTCTGGAACTCTGAGACGAAGGGGAACCATGCCAATATGGCTATTGGTGCAAACAGTACCACCCCCATCATGTACTCGTACCCTCTTGCCAGTGCCTTCACTGATCCCCACATTCCAATTCCCTTAACCAATGTCCGGCACGCTTGCGATATCTGCAGTAGCGCCCACCCTGTCGGCACAAAGGCCAGGAAGCTCTGGAAGATGTCTCCCACGGTGAGGTCCACGAAATAAAATAGCATTGCAATAGTGGCTATGCACCCGATAAACATGAGTAGCTTAAGGAGTCTGAACATCAGCTGGAAATCCGCACTGAACTTCATTCGCCCCATCGACACAATCTGCAAGTGCACCGGTGAATTGTTTTAGATTGCTAATTATAGAGAGATGATGATTATATGGGGTCTCACCTTTAAAATAACCAGCACGGCTACGATGACCAGCCAGGAAAGACCATACACCTGAAACCAAGCACAATAGCAGTATCATTTGGAAATGGCTTTTGGCCTTAAAAAGACGGGAGATGTTAAGATTAGAGGGTGCTACTCACCATGATGCTCAGCCGGATGGCTTTTCTTCTACTTTTTACCATGTTTAGATGATACACGATTCCATATTGGTAAATGAAAAAGCGAAGGGAAAGAATTATCTCCATTATACGTCCCATGATCCCGGTGTGGCGCAGGTGTTCCTGTTCTTCCTCCCACCATGATTCCCAGCTCTTAACCGAGGAAACTCCGATACCTCCTCTGCAGCTAATCCACTTTGACCAATCATCCCAATCTTCCACTATTTTCTGCCATTCGAATCCAGATGGATTCAAAAGGAAAGGAGCAAACAGCCAGGATAAGACTAGGAACCACATCGAGAACGATAGGAGCCCATAGGAGACTGCATCTTCTGTGGAACCATAGATCCTGTAACATATAAGCAATATCATCAGCTCCATCCCTTTTACAAAGTGGCTCCTCGAGTACAACCGGTAGTTCTCTGCGAATTTCTCGTGCCGGACCACAAAACCACGGCCTGTTGCTCTGTACTTAGCCCCACCGTGCAGGATCGTGCGACCGAAATAATGGGCTCTCGTTCCGAGGGAGAAAGTGAAGAACACGGATGCCAACTGAAGCTGCATGATTATGATGTCACCTAATGCAGTTCTAAATCCTCTTTCTAATCCAATCTCCATCACCATTGGTAGTACTGTCAACACACCTAATTGAACTATAGACTGTGAAGCCAATGCTGCCTTTAGAGAGTTGTTTCCCCTAGCTGAAGCAAACTTATATATTGCCTCCTCTAAACCACTTAATGCCAAATAAAGCCTTCCGTACAAGAAAAGGTAGACTGTGAACACAATCAACTGCATAATAACAGCAATGAACTCACATTAGCTTTGGAAAGAAACAAAATCATTAATCACTTTCTAATTGATCTGAAGCACATTACCATTGAGCTGAAATAAAATCCAACTGTTGTAAAGTAGCAGGACAACATGCGGAAAAAGTCAAAGCGATGGCCTAATCGGTAGATATCTCGGCTGAGCGTCTGTTCCCCGTTACCACAAGCCACTTTGGCTTCAAAGAGTGAGATTTGGTTTAACCCAACATCCCTACCTTTCCCAACTTGAATGTACTCGTGATGAGTGATGTTCCCTCGTCTCAGGGTCGAGTTAAAACCTATTTGAAGTACGATAAATATCGGAAGGAAAAAGAAGAATAAGTGGTTGCATTGATGTAAGATCATTATTACCAGCAAAGATGTCCTCGCTCAAGTTGATGCCACGAGAACCCTTGCTGATGCCTCCACGGGTTATGTGGAAGATTCTATCGAACACGTCCGGGTGACCGTAATGGAAACGAACCCTACAATACACCAATAAACATTCTCTTGTTAACCAACACGGATATCACTTGCATTATAGAATGTGTAAGAAAATCCAGCTGATAAACTTGTAATAGATCAAAACATACTTCAGTGGTCTTGCAAGAACTCTTTGACCAATGGTGACGAAGCTCGTTTCTTGATTCGACATGAACCAAGCCAAAGACGAGACACTGCAACATGGAGATTTCGACGCATAAGATAAAGTCACCAGATGTTATATCAACAACAACCGAGCAAATAGCAATATGTTCAGTCGGACCTTCCTGTAAAGATATGCTCACGAACTCCTAATATTGTAGGGGGTCTTACTCCATGATCCTCGTTAAATTCTTCCAAAAGATTACGCATTTTGAATGCTTCTTCCAAGTAATTATCCTGGAGAAGAATTGCGGCAAGATGTCATCGCATTCGCTTAAAAAAATCGTTATCACTTGGATGATTATAAAACTTTGAGGCCTCACCTGATTCATATCAATGGTTTGCAGAGCTTCCCCGCGAGTAAAAACCAAAGCATGATTCTGATTTTCAGGTTTTCCTTCTCCTAACTTTGCATTTCCAGGCAACTTTATTCTATAGATTTCCTGGTCAAGATTATTAAGACCTTTAACCAGTACAGAATAGTAAACTTTCTGAGATCTTCCTGTACCATCCCTTTCTTCGACATCGTCGATATATGCTACACGAAGAGAGGGATTACTGTATAAGAAAAAAGCAGTTAGAAAGGGAGAGAGTTAAAGATGTCATACAAAAAAGACCTAAGGTAATTACTTAATCATCAAGTTCAGGATGTCGGTTGCCCGACGATCTCCGCTCTGTTTCTGATTTCCATAGTTTTGACATGTTGCAACATAAGTGAATTTCAAGTCAGCCACTGCCTCCAACTGAGCATACAGGGATCTCTGGCTTTTCTTATCTTCATCGGACGGATTTAAGATCGCTTTGTATCCTTCTAATATTTCTGCTCACATAACAAGCACACATTCCATCGTATTATAAACGCTTGCATCGAAGATGGAGTGATGGACAAATGCTTTGCGGAGAACGAGTTATATGCGTACCGTTTTCTGTAGCCATGTCAAGAAAAGCCTGAACTTTCAAAGCTCGTCTGTAATACATCATCCCTCTAACTGCAGTTCCAATGGTAATGAATTATGCACCTAACTAATATATGAATTGAAGGGAGAAACTTAAGCACCAAATGAGTACCTGTCCTGCACAGAGTTTGTCCTCTGAAGGAGACCCAATGGCGAAGCTGCAAAATGTTTTCGTCATTCTCCCAAATCTCATTCTCCTTACAGTTGAGACGCTCGATGAAGTTGTTCCACTCATCTAAACAAATCCAATGAGTACAGCAACCGAGTTGAAGTTATCAAAACAAAAAGGAAATCTCAAGAGATTATAGTATGCAAGTTAACAATATCACAAACCTGGATAGATTTTCTGCAGATAGAAAATGATGGATACACCATCCTCGTTTTCCATCTCGAGTTCGGTTTTGGAGTAGACAGTTTCTTCACTATAGTATGGAGTCAGGACACTGACCATGGCAAGAAGGTGACATCGATTCATGTGGCATGCAACCAGAGAACATATATTCAATGACTAGATGTAGGAAACATGAAAATACCTGAAGGAGAGCATGTTACGAACTCGAGGAGCACGTGGCATATCCATAAACAACGAATTCGCAAAGAAGGAGATTCTTCTACGTGCCTCGAGATTCGATGGTATATCGGTGCCGGATTCTTTGACCGTCAGAAGCATATGAAGACGTCGAATCTGAAACATAGGACCAATGGATCA